CCACGAGCGCCTTTATGTATTCCACCACCACCGCGCTGTTCGAGGCAAACCGCTTCGCCTCCACCCGCTCGAGCACCTGCCGGGGTCGCCGCTGCTCATTGAGCGCCGCCAGCAGCGCCGCCTGGCGGTCGGCGTCGCTGGGGGCCTCGTCGGCGGCTTCCCGCAGCTGCCGCAGCCGCTGGGCGGACACCCAGGCGGGCAGGTAGAGGAGCAGCGCGGCGAGCGCGGCCCACGCGCGCGCGACGAGCGCGCGCGCGGCGGAGAGGGCGCTCGAGGCGGCCGCGAGCGCGGCGGCGGGGCTGCGCGGGAGCGTCAGCTGCGGCGGCGACGCTGCGGCGGGGGTCGCGGCGGCGGTGTCTGTTGCGGCGGCGGCGGCATCTGGGCCGGTGGCCCTGCCAGTGAGCCGCTGGATTGCATCGATGGTGGCAGCAGCAGAGGGAGAGTCGTCCGCAACTGCATGTGGCTGCTGCTGCTGCTGCTGCTGCTGCTGCTGCTGCTGCTGTTGTTGCTGCTGCTGCTGCTGCTGCTGCTGCTGCTCATCAGACGCACCACCGCTGCTCCCATCCGCCGCATCAGCCGAGCGGGCCACGCCGCGGCGGGCGCACCGATGTGGGTCGCACGGCAGGGAGGTGGGCTTCTGCAGGAGCACTGTGCTGCAGCACAGCCTGCGGCGGCGCTGGGCGAGCGCGCCGTCGCTCAGCGGCACCCGCCCCGCAGGCGCGCCGCAGGCCCGAGGAATCCGAGCGGCGGCCGGCGCGAGGCCAGCCGGCCGCAGGGCGGCGTGCATGTCTGATTTCAAGCCTGCACTAGTAGCTGGCAGCGGCCTGCAGGCGAGCAGGAGCGCGCGCGTGACCGCAGAGGCGGCGCTGGTGGGGTGCAGCAACAGCGGCGGCGCGCAGCGCACCACCAATGCGCTGAAACAAAGGGATCTCTGAACGAACTGAACTGCATGCAAGCGGCACCTATCCTGAAAGCCTGCTAATCAATACATCATCCGTATGCAAAGCATGCATGCTTGTACGCGAGGTGGAGCGCGTCCCACCCCGCTCGCCTGTGTGCCGATGTTCGCCAACTGACCCTAAGCAGCGCCGAAATCCTCGCGAGAAGTAACGATTACCAAGCTGGTGGCCCTGATGCAAGCCTGCCACCTCGTTACGAGGCCAGGCTCAACCAAATCTGTAGTTCTAGAGGCTTCTCGTGTAAGAATAATTGAATGTCGTCTCTTGTGCTGTCTGTATAGGCGCATCGTGCTGGGGGGTAGGGTGGGTAGCAGACACAGCGGCACTAGACCATTACTCAGGATCGACACCTGGGCGACGCCTGCCGCCTCGCCACGACCCGTGCATGTGTAGAGAGCACACAAGTAATTGAGCTGCCCCATGCATGCAGGCTCTGACAGCGCATGCAGTTGTGTCTATCAGTGTTTACGAGCGTGCAGCGTCTGGCTCAGTCTTCCAGGGGTTGACCACGCGGTCGCCTCCGCACCAAGAGTGCGCTCGGACGGCGGCGAAAAACGCAAGGCACGCCTCCCGTGCGTCAGTAGCCAGATCGTTTGTCGCAGACCGCGATCAACTCCTTGCCCTCAACGTACAGCTTCGCGTTCTCCACGAACCGCTCCAGGCTCTCAAACTGGAACTCCTTTGTCCGGTCGGCGCAGTGGGGGCTCAGCAGCACGTTGGGCAGGCCCCACAGGGGCGAGTCCGCGGGCAGCGGCTCCGTCGCAAAAACGTCGAGCGCCGCACCCCGGATGCGGCCCTCGGAGAGCGCTGCGGGCGGCGGGTGAGACGCAGAGGGGTGCCAGGCGAGGCGAGTGGAGCTGTCGTGCCGTGGCGCTCCGAGATTACACCGCCCCATATATCTCCACGCACCCCACGTCTTCGCCCACTCATCGCCCACACAACTGCCGGCTCGAGCGTCCGCACACCCAACCGCCCACCCACCCCAGCCTATTCACACATGTTGCGCGCCACCCACCCTCAATGAGCGCCTCCTCGTCGACGCACTTCCCGCGCCCCACGTTGACCAGCACCCCGCTGGGCTTCATCGCCGCGATGGCGGCCCTGGAGATGATCTTGTCGGTCTCGGGGGTCCAAGGGGTGGCCACCACCACATAGTCACTGGCGGCCATGAGGTCACCCAGCTGGTCCGGGCGGTAGACCGCGGACTGCGAGGTTTTTCAAATGGAATCAGAACAGGGTTCGGCAAGGCGGCACGTACAAGGCAAGAGCAGGGAGTGTTGAGTTCCCACACAATCGCACAGGCGGACGCGCAAGGGGGTGGCGAGGTCGAGCTGGAATGCTATTGCAGTATCAGCGGGCGTGCCTGCTTAATCCCGCAAGCTGGGCACAAACGCTGGCACTCCCTTGCCCCAGAGGCCTGGTGCAGCGGCCTGGCAGCTGCTCACCAGCACCCCCTCCGCCTGCTCGGCTTCCGACAGCTCAGCCCGCCGCCGCAGCGCCACTACCCGCATCCTGCGAAAGCGCACGACGTGCGGAAGGAAGCTTCTCAGCTCATGTTGTTATGTGTGGAGCTGACGCGGCGCAGCACAGCACCGCCGAGGGGTCCAGCGGGCAGACGCTCAAAGGGCAGTGGCCCCGAGCCGCGGGGCCGGTGACGCCTCCGCGCCGGCCGCGGCCGGCAGGCGCCGCGCCTGACCTGAATGCCCGCGCGAGCCTCGCGGCGGCCTGGCCGATGTCGCCATATCCGACCACCTGAGGAGGGGCGTACGGCCAAATTACGAACTTATAAATAATCATATCAACAGAGGAGGGGGGTGTGGCAAGTGGGAGGCAGCGGGAGACGTGCGAGTGCATAGAGCGGGCCGGGTGCGGCGCGATGCATCGGCAGGTGCGCCTGCGCTTGTGCGGTGCAATTGTGCGGGCCTGCGCTTGGTGTGCAAGCAAGGCCGGCATCCACACGGGCAGCAGCAACCCCTGGTTGCCCGCCCCACCGCAAAGGTGCACACACCAGCAAGAGAACGCCCACATGCACGCATCAGTTTGCGCGCGTGCGCACACACGCACGCACGCACGCACGCACGCACGCATGGACACACGGACGCACGAACGCAAGCACACGTCAGTACACATTTTGTAGCACACTTCACATAGCGTACATGCACACTCACACACTTACACACACACACACGCGCGCACACACGCTCCTGCGCACATACACACGCACGCACGCACACACACGCGCGCACGCACACACACACACACACACACACACACACACACACACACACACACACACATGCACACACACACACACACGCGCGCGCACACACACACACACACACACACACAGACACAAACACGCATGCCTCCATCCCCCCGCGCTCACCCCCATTGTCTTGCCGCGCAGCTCCTCCACGTCGTAGGGGTCCCACCTCCGGTCAGCCTTGGCCGCCAGCAGCCGCGGGAAGTCCTTGGCGAACCAGCTGCAGCAGGTAAGGGAGTACCTGGGGGGGCCGCAACGGGGGAGGGGAGGGAAGGGGGGACCGGCTCGCTTGAGGTGCATGGCTGTGAGCCGTTTGGGAGCTTACGTGGTTGAGAGCGAGGGGGGTAAGTGGAGGAGGGAGGGGAGAGAGGGGGGGTGTCGCGAGTAAGGGCGGGCACCAGGGTCAGTGGTGAGGCAGGAGGCTGGTCGGATGGATGGCAGCACACCACGGCGCTGGCCGGTCCGCAACTGCACGCAGCCGGCCGGCCACGCACGCTCCAGACAAAATGCCGGCGGGCGCCGTATAGGGCCGCAGCGGTCCGACCGCGTCTCCCCCCGATTCCGCACGCCCGTGCGCCCTCCTCTGCCGCGGCCTCACTCTGCGAGGGAGTGCGAGTAGACGCCCTTTGCGTTGGTGAGCACCACCGGGCTCTCCACCAGGCCGGGGAACAGCAGGTGCTCCAGCCCGGCCGACGAGGAGTGCAT